CATGCTCTGCGTCCAGCGACGTGGCGACGGCGAGCGGGACCAAATAGGTGACCGTCACGAGCACGATCGTGATGCCGAGCGCGCGAGGGAAGTCGCGGCCAGGCTGCTCCACCTGCGGGATCAACTCTGGAGTCTGAACTCTCAGGTCTTGGCTCGGAGTCGCGCCCGGGCTACTCCGCCTGCGAACTGGAGCGACGACTCTCTCGGACGTGTCTACGGAGGTGTCGGGTGTCGGCCCGGCTGCTCCACCCGTCAGTCATACGGGGAGGTGTGGGGAGATGTGGGGAGAGATGGGGAGGTGTGGGGAGGTGTGGGGAGGTGTGGGGAGAGATGGGGAGGTATGGGGAGGTGTGGGGAGGTGTGGGGAGGTATGGGGAGGTGTGGGGAGGTACAGCCTCACACACGCCGGCAAGCTGTGGCTGGATAGAAGCGAGAGGGGAGAGGGGAGAGGGGAGAGGGGAGAGGGGAGAGGGGAGAGGGGAGAGGGGAGAGGGGAGAGGGGAGAGGGGAGGAGGGTGGAGGGGAGAGAGGTAGCAGGTGACCGGGTAGAGAGCGTTGTCGAAGGTGTTCGAGACGAGGTTCCACACCTGTTCGAGTACTCATGTCGGCGAGCCGCGATTCATGAGTCCATCACCAACAGTCGACGTGATCGACACTCGAGGGTGTCTCGCCCGTGTGTGATGGAGACGCCAGCCTCAGGGCGGGAGAACATGCGGCCTTGTGCAAGAGCAGTTCTCAGCGCCGCGTGAAGAGGAGGGGGTGCGGACACAGCGAACCCAGCCGACTGCGGCGGAGTGCAGCGGAGTCCGCGTCCTCTCGAGCGCTGGTCCGAGTGACTTCCGAGTGCGTCTTCCGCTTCTAGGGGTCCGAGATGTGGGGAGATACGGGGGGGAGATATGGGGAGATCTCCCGCTTCTAGGGGGGGGCGTAGGGGGGCGCACGGCGTTCTGCGTCGCCCAGAACGGTCCGAAGGCGCGCTGCACCCAGACCACGTATCCGCCCGCCTGTGAAGTCTCCGTTCCTGGCGGTTGGCCATTAGCTGGCGCCGCACCCAGACCACGCTCCGCCCGCCCGTGTCAGCGCGGGGCAGGGAGGAGAGGCGAGGGCTGGCAGGGCCGGTACCAGCCGGCCGGCTGATGTGCCGGCACAGGCGAGGGGCCGGGGAGAGGCGGGCTGGCAGGGCGGGTGGCTGACAGAGTGTCTCGAGAGTGCCGAGTTGTAGGCGTGTCGTGGGTCGTGTGTGTGTGAGACGGGTCTGTGTGAGGCGTCTGCACGGTCCGGCGCTGCCGCCGCGCCTCTGGAATCATGGCGCCGAGCTCGGCGGTCATGAGGGCGATGGGGAGGGACCAGAACCAGGGCAGCAGCAGCAGCCCGAGCAGCGAATACGCCACGCCGCCGCTCCCCACCGAATCCTCGATCCCATAGTCGCCACCGCAGACGGCGAAAAACGTGACGCCGACGAGGTGGTGCCACTGCAGCTGCCGCTTGAGGCCGGGCACGCTGCCGCCGCCGCTCGCGCTGCCGTTGTCGCCGCCGCTGACGCCGCCGTCGTCGGGTGAGCCCGCACAGCTCGCGCCGCGTGGCGAGCCCGGCTTGCCTTTCGCTCCGCAAAGCTCGACCGTGGCGGCTGCCTCCAGGAGGACGGTAGGGTCGGGCAGCGCGTCGGATGACGCGGAGTCGGCGCGCATGACGGCCTGTCTGTACACCGGACGCGCTCTAGCCTCACCACTCCTCATGCCAGCTGCTCCATTTGGAGCAGGAAGAGGGCTGTGGCGCGCGGGCAAGCGAGAGGCGTGCAGAGACGAAAGGCAGAGAAAAAAAAGTCGTGTGCGGCGGACCGGTGATAAGGGCGGCCCTCATGCAGCGGGCCGCCACGACCAGCGAAGGATGGGAGGTTGCGGCTAGCCCATCCAGGTGGGCAGTGCAGTACGCGCCTACCACGCGAGTGCGCGACTGTTAAACTCTTTCTAGACGGACCCAGGTCGCATCGGGGGCACGGGACACACGGGACGCGGCACAAACGGGGCACAAACGCCAGGCTAGAAAGACGGGCGGGGATATGCGCGCCGCGGCCCTCGCCCAGCCGCCGGAATGGTCCGCCACCACCGTTCGCCTTGTCCGCCGCCGTCAGCGCCGCGCCCCCGCCGACGAACGCGAGCGGATTCGGCATGGTGTGCGGCCGGCCCTGCGCCACCGCCACGCTCCCGTGGGAGGGTGTCGGTCGTGGGCCTGACGCAATGAGACACGCTCGCTCCGCTCCAACCTCCGACGCCTCCCGTAACGTCTCCAACCGCCCGCCGCGCATAACTGACTCCTCATCACCTCCCTACATAGTGCTACACGCCGGCTTTTCGTATTTCTTTTTACGCAGCTAGCCACCACACGACAGAACGGAACGAGTACGGGTCATTTTTTCCCGCTTCCGGCCGCTACCCGGGCACCAGGGAATTCTCACCAGGGCACAAAAATCCACCTGTCACAATCCTCTCAGGACTGGCGCAACTAGTAGCTAGGCCCATGCTCAAAAAAGAAAGGGCCTCTGGCAGGATCCAGGGCTCGCAGCACCGCAGCTTGGAGCCCTCCGGTCCGCAGGACTGGAGCGAAAAAAAGCAAGCGAGTGGGCCTCCGCAGGGCTCTCGCACCTCAGCCTCTCATCATAGACAAACTAGCGCGCAGCGCCACATAGGAGGTATTTTCTTCTCAATATAGCAAGGACCAAGAAGTCAAGAGATTGTGAAATTCTATCCGCTCTCGCCAGTCCCGTTGTATGTGGGCGTGCCACCGAATGACAAAACCCCATCGGGTCACGGGTGTCACTTCCGCCGGGCGCCGGCCGCTCGCCGCTTTCGCCTGACGCACAATCGCGCCACCATGTGTGTGTGTGTGTGTGTGCACCATAAACATACATATGCGGAGGAACGACTCCGACGCAAGCTCTCTCAACCCACAATCTCTCGCACAATCTCTCGACCCCAAGTTGAGCGCGGCAGTGATGACTGCGGCCCATCTCCTCTCCATTCGTTCACCGGCTTCTCCGACTGCGCTGAGTGGTAGGGCCCCCAAGGGGCCTAAAAAGCGCGCCTCCCTCTCCCTTTTCTCCCAGTAAGCTAAAAAAGTAGAGCGCATGTCCGCATCGCCGCCGTCTTCGTCAAGCCGCTCCATCTCCGTCTGGAAGTCGTCCCACCGCTTCGCCACCTCGTCGCACTGCCTCTTCAAGTGCTCACCGAGCGGCGCGAGCATCTGAGCCGCCCGGCCCGCCGGCTCCGCAATGGGTTGATGCAGCACCGCCGCCACGAGGGCGCTCCGCCTCCGCTTCGCCAGGCTCGCCGTGGTGTCCGTCGCCGCGAGCGGCGCCAGCAGCGCCGCCTGCTCCGCCGTCCGCTCCTCTGCCGCCGCCCGCTCCGCCTCTCTGGGCGCCTCCGCACGTTCCTGGTGCTGCACGGCGCGCAGCTCGCCCGCCGCGCGCCTCGCCCTCTTGGTGATCGGACGGCCGTGCGCGAACGGGTCGTCCGCGTCGCCCGCCGCCGCCCGCCTCTCGTGCGGCACGGTGTGCAGCGCCTCCGCCGGCCACGCGAGCCGGATTGCCGCGCCGCGGCCCTCGCCCAGCCGCTGGAATGCTCCGCCGCCTTCGTTCGCCTTGTCAGCCGCTCGGGCCGCCGCCGTCAGCGCCGCGCCCTTGCCGACGAACAGGAGCGGATTCGGCATCGCAAGCCGAAGCGAAGGCGACGTCGTCGGCCATCAACAACTTTGCCTGACGCGCACAATCGCCCTTGGCTGACACGCTCGGCGTGCCACCTTCCGCCGGCGCTCGCCTTTCGCCTGACGCACAATCGCGCCACTACCAACATACATATGTAGGAAGGTGAAGAACAGTCAGGCTCGGACTGGACACCAACGCGGGAGTCTCTTCAAGACGGACCCAGTGCGCTAACCCCGAGGAAGCCTTTTGAGTCGCTCCTCTCGACTCCCTCATCGCCAACACCGTTGAGCCACAAACATTGAGTAAAAAAAACAAAAAAAAACACCGGGCATGCAACGGGCATTTCAACACGGCGGCAACCCGATCTCGGCCGTCCCCGCCGTCGACCGGCCGGGCCCGCGCAACAGGCCGGCGGCCGTCAACGAGCTGCTGGTCATCCAGTACGCGTGCTGGCTGGCACAGTTGCCGCAGGCGGAACACATCGCTGCGATGTTTACGATCTTGACCGCGCCTCCACCCACCGGAGACGACCGCCAGATTCCACACAGGTCGCGACGCCTACTCGCCGGTACCGCAGCGGTTGCGTTTGTCCTAATCGTGCCATTGCTCTCACGCACGTCGTCGCCGCCCGCTGTGTCGATGTCGTTGCCTCCCGCACAGTACGCCCTGGACGGACGCACGTACGCCAAATGTGAGGGCACGTACAAGCGCTCGGACGACCTGATCCAAGGCAAGCCGATCTGGGACCGCATCGACCCGGACAGCTCGCGCTTCATCTTCTTCTGCTCGGGCAAGTGGCGTGTCACCGGCTCGCAGTGGCGCGAGGGCCTGCTCGCTGAGAACGGCGGCTCGTGCGGCTCCTTCATCTCCTCCGACGATGGCGCTGCGGAGTGGTACGAGGCAAAGTGGGATGGCGCGGGCGCCGTCGCCGCCGCCGTGGACTTACCAAAGTGCGAGGGGGACAGATCCAGTTTCACAACACCTTGGGGCGCCAAAAACGTGTGTCCCATGTACGAGAAAGACGATTGGCGCCAGGGATGTCGAGCAGACATCTGGCAGGTTGACCCGGACACCAAATACAGTGCGGCAGAAGTGTGTGCTGAGTGTGGCGAGTGCACGACACCGACGCCGCCGTGTAAAGGGGACCGAGACAACTGGAAGAGCACATACGGCAATTGCGAATCCTACGCCTCGGGCGGTACCAACGCTGGCCATTGCGGCGACACAGGGTCAGCCAAGGCCGACGCAGAAGTGGTTGGCGAAGAGAACATCGAACGCACGGCCGCAGCGGTGTGTTATGAGTGTGGGTGCGTTTGCACGGAGTGCTCACCGCCGCCGCCCCCGCCTTCCCCTTTGCCGCCCGGCAAGACTCTGCAGGATGTGTACCCATGGATGCTTGACGCCACCGTTGCGCTGCAGGAGCTGACGGCCGGCAGGCTTGCTCCCGGCGACACTGACGTCGCGGCGGAGGCCATCTTGAAGGTGTTCCAAGACGCTGGTGTCAGCCTTGGGGCAGCCGCTCCCGACACGATCCCCCTCCCCGCTCTTGGCGATGCCGCTCTCGACAAACTCGCCAGCTTGGGAAACAACGAGACGTGCGTCCCCACGTCGCTCGCGCCGGTGACCAAGGACAGTGCATTCTGCTGGTTAGCGCTGCGCGCACAGGCGCAAATCGTTAAAGCCGCGGAGGATGCGGGGCTTCCTACGCCGCCGCAGAAGTGCATGGGGGACCGCGCCACCTTTCGGAGCAGTACTTACCCCGACCCGAAAAAGTTTGGCCTTGAGACCATGTGCGAGTACTATGTCGAGGGGAAATGGTATCAGTATTGTTCCGACGACAGGGACGCGGACACGGCGCTCTCGGCGGCAGAAGTTTGTCACGAGTGCGGCATGTGCGACCAGCCCCCTGGGCCTCCTCCCCCGCCATTCGCGCTAAACTCCATCGCGTACACCGTGGCGGCGAAGGAGTTTCCGGGAGCCGTGCCTGAGGAGGCGAGTCCCGCAGAGATAACGCTCTCGGTCGATGCCACGTACACCGCTCGTGACAGCCTCTACGCCAGCTCTTCTCCGCTCGCCGACGTCTGGCGGAGCACGGGTCGCTACGCCAACGCGGGAGAGCCAATCACCATCGAAGTAAAGCTAAAGGAGGGACAGAGGGTCACAGGCCTCGGTGTCCGCATCGGCTGCCACACAGACTCCCTGTTGGGTAAACGAAACGAGCTCAAGCGCTCGCCCAGGATCTCAACCTGGTTCGCGCTGACCGGAGCCAAGACAACCGTAGCGAATCCCTGGGGGGGGCTCGTCTATATCACCGTCAGGGATAAGACTCAGCTTGGGACAATCGAGGTGACGATCAAAGGCGCGTATCCGGCTCCGTTCTTCCGCCTCGGCAAGACGACAGCAGCAGAGTGGAACGAGATGGTCAACAACCCAACGATGGCTCCGTGGGCAGAGCTCGCAGGAGACAAGATCATCCTCACCGCCCCCACCGCGAGCGCCAAGCAGGTGGCGGACCCGAACGACCTGATGAAGTTCTGGGACAAGGTTCGCGACCAAGCGAGCTTCCTCGAGGGATGCGCCCTAGACGATCTCACTTAGCACGGAGGGGTGGGTGGGTGGGGTGGGTGGGGGTGGGGGGGGGGGGGGGAGGGGGGGAGGGGGGGAGGGGTGCCTGTGTGTGTGGGGGGGGGGGGTTCCCCTGACCTGCTCGTGGCAAATGCGCGGCACGGAGGCGAGCTGCATCGTCCACCTAGCGACCTGAGCTCACTCTGCGGCGCGCCGCGAGCAGGCTATGACACGGCGACCTGGACGCCCGAGCGCGAGGAGCGCTACGTGTGCGATCGGCAAATCAGCGTCGGGTGCTGCTCGACACAACCCCTTCCCCCTCGTGGCCGCCCCGCCGCGTCATCCCCTCCATTTCCGACATAGACTCATGCACTCTGGCTACCCGATTATGCTGCTCTCTGGCGTGCTCAACGTGACCGACATCAGACTAAATGGCGGCTGGGGGGTTTTCCACGAGCTAGGGCACAACATGCAGTACAAGCCGTGGGTGTGGGAGGCGACCGTCGAAACCACGCCCAACGTGTGGTCGGTCTTCCTGCATGAAACCGTGAGGCTATCCCCCCCTTCCAGTTCCCATGCTTCCCCTCTAACCCCGACGCGCCCTTCTGATGGCAGATGACCAGTGTCGATCGAGACCATGCCCACGAAATGGTTTCGAGAGAGCGCCAAGTTAAGCTAGTTGAAGAGTACTTCGATGTCGAAGACGCGGAAGAGGGGCCCGACTTCAGCAAATGGGAGGTTTGGACCGCGCTCATCTCCTACCTGGAGCTTCAAGAGGCGTTCGGATGGGAGTTCTACCAGAAGGTGTTCAGAGCGTACCGCGCGCTGGACAGCACGACAAAGAAGGAGCTCGTGTACGCTTCCGCTGCGGACAGGTGCAACATGTGGGTAAACCAAACGTCACAGGCGGCCAACAAGAACCTGGTTCCTTACTACAAGGCCTGGGGCATGCCCGTCTCAGATGATGTCACGCAAGCGTTGGAGGGGCTCGACGCGTGGGATTACGGCAAAGACTGGTTGCCGTCCAAGCTGAATGGGCTTGAGTGATGAAGGGGCTTGTTGAGGTGGCGGGCGTGCAGGAGAACCCTTTTGGCCCCAGCGCCGAGCAGGGCCAGACAGTGACGAAGTCCCTGCACCCCCACACACACTGCATGAGGGGGGAGAATCGGGCCCGACTGCGCAAATTTCTTCAAATTTTTCGCAGGCACTCCGCGCCTGCAGATTTTGAAATAAATTCGATAAAATTGGGGCCAAGCTCGGCAATGGCCTGGGACCCTCGCCCAAGGTGCAAGGGAGACTTACAACGCTGTCTTAACGTTCGGCGCCGCGGGCACCGCGTCAGGAATGACAACGCAGTAGCGGGCGGACCTCACAGCTCACAGCTCGTCACGCCTCACGGCACCCCGAAGGCGTGCTTGAGCGTGTCGTACAACACCAGCTGCACTGTGACGATCACGCCAACCTGCGCCAGCCGCGCGCGCAACCCCCTCACCAGCCCGTCTGCCCCGAGCCTCTCCGCCGCCGCCCACACACCGCCCTCATGGTCCGCCCCGCCGCTGCTCACCTCTGAGAGGATCGCATCGCCCGGTTGCGACGCGAGCGTCGAGAGCACCGCGGCGGCCGCAGCGGCGCCGGCCGTGCTCGCCCAGCGCGGCAGCGGCGACGGCGCCGCCCTCGCCGCCGCGTCGACGAGGGCGTCAAAGGTCACCTGCTTCGTGGCGGTGTACGGCAGCTGCTTAGCGCACGTGGCTGGCACGCCCTGCAGCAAGCCGGCGGCCCCCTCCGCCTTAGGTAGGGTAGGGTGAACTTCTCCGCACAAGATGTCCGTTCACCTCTCTAACAAGATGGTGGGGCGAGGGCCACGCAACCTCGCGACTCCACGTCTAAGATGGGAGCCCCACGGCATTCAAAGTGCAAGGGCCGTGCGCGTGGGTGAGCGGTGTGAGTGCGTGCGTGTGTGCGTGTGTGTGTGAGTGCGTGTGCGTGAGTGCCCTCCGCCTCGTAGAGGCGTGACGCCGCGCCGAGCAGCCCGAGCGACGCGTACGACGGTTCGCTCACCATGCGGATCCGCGTCGCCTCCGCCGGCGCGAGAACGAGCGACGCGAGCCCGCCTGCCACCACCGCCGCGGCCACTGGCCCGGCCGCGGCGCTCTGGTCCGCGCCCAGCCCGAGCGACGCGAGGAGTGGCGCGGAGGCCGGCTTGAGTGCCTCGTACACACCAAACTTGCACGCGCCCTCGAGGCCGTACCCGACCACCGTCGGCGCCACGCCGGTGAGGAGCGCGGCGGGCCCGTCCGCCTGAGCCACATTCCTCAGCCTAACCCTAACCCTAACCCTAACCCTACCCCTACCCCTACCCCTACCCCTACCCCTACCCCTACCCCTACCCCTACCCCTAACCCGAGGGCCCGTCCGCCTGAGCCACACGCCTCAGCCCGTCGAGCAGCGACAAGTCGCGGAACTCAGGCCGCGTCTGCTGCTTCGTCTTCACGACGTCGATCGGCGTAGCGAGGGCGTGCGAGAGGCTCGCGCACAGCCCGCCCGCGAAGAAGTAGCGCTCCTGCTGCTGCGTGGCGCTAAGAGCCGCTGCCAGCAGAGTCGCCCCCGCGTCCTCCGCATGCAGCAGCATCGCCGGCCCAACGCCGCCTCGCCGCGCCGGTGGCGTGGCACGTCGACCCGCTTCCACCAGCGGCGCTCGCGCGCTCGCGCGGCCCTCGAGCATCGCGTCCGCGGCGACGGCCACCTAAGGTAAGGTGCAACTGCTCCGCACACACACACCACTTTGTGCAGCGCCATGGAGGGCGTTCTCGATGGGACGGGGGTGGGGGGGGGGGCACCTCCTCGCACAAGGCCTCGAGCGGAAGGATCGAGAAGGGCTCCTGGGCGAGTTCAGGGGGGCATGGGTGAAATGTTTCCGAGGCAAGGCAACGTAGCCCCCTCTGCCACTAGCGGCCTCGTACGTCAAGGGGTCACCAAGTGGGGGAAGGCGCGCGCTCCTCCAGCTGCACGGCGAGCTCCTCGATGCCAAAGAGGAAAATCGAGACCACCTAGGGGAACCGCGAGCGCGGTCTCGTCCACCCCTTTCGCCCGGCGGCGGAGTGGCGGAGGTTGCCGTGGCGGCAGGCAGCAGCGCGAGGTGGTTCCACGACGAGCCTGCGCGACGGACTTCGCCGAGTCGGGACTTTCGAGAGACGCGTGCGCGAGAGGCGCTTCGAGCGGCGCGCGCCGAAGCCCTCCCAGAGGCCGAGTGGCAGCAGGAGCAGCCACGCGGACAGGAAGCGCGCCTGCGATGCGGCGCCGCGCCTCTTCACGCCTCGGGCGTGCGAGAGCGGAGGGCCAGAGTGCATGCAAACGCGCCGTGTGGCGCGTATAGACCAGCGGGACTGGGTTGGCGAAGATGCGCTCGCACGTCTCACACGCGTCGCCTGTCACCCGCACGTCGTCACTCGTCTTCTACGTGAGAGTGTGTTCGGCTCACTCGCCGCTTCGACCGAGCAGGATGCACGACTTGTCCATCTCGACCTTCTTCTTCTCGTCGATGGGGAGCCGGTCCATGGCGGCCGAGAGGAGCGAGAGGGCGCGGAGCGGGCGGTGTGACGAGCCCAGCAGCAGCGCGGCTGACGCGTCGCTCGGGAAGCGCTCGCGCACCTCTTGGGCGAAGCGCGGCTCCTTGGCGGGGTCGGAGAGGTGCGCCCACAGACTGCGCGGGAACGCCCACACGCAGAGGCGCAACTCCTCGAGACTGCGGCGCGCGGCGTCGGGGTCTGCCACGTCCTCCGCCTCGTCCTCCTCGATCCAGAGCGTCGCCTGCCGCATGATGTTGCGGCAGTGCGAGACGATGCGGCCCCACGCCTGTCGCGCCTCGAGCCACCTCTGGTAGCTCGTGTTCGTGCGGAACACGAGCAGCAGCCCCAGCGCGGGAGAGGAGAGAGTGAAGATGCTGACGGGAAGCTGAGCACGCAGGAAGGCGGGCACTTCCTCGCCAAAGAGGCCGGGCTGGGTCGTCGTCGTACCCAGGCTGTCGTACCCAAAGAGCGCAGCGTTCCAAACAATCACCAGCAGTGCGACCAGCGTGACGGCAATGACCTCACTCAGCAGCGACCGAACGACGCCAGAGGTGAACGTGCCCTGCAGGTTGCGCAGCAGTCGCGTCTCGGAGCGGTGCCGGAGCCAGTCCTCGTGCCGGTAGATGGTGCGGCGGTAGCGCCGACTCTCCTCACCATACGGCCGCTTGCCCTGCTGCAGCGTCGCCTCCTTGATTGAGCCCGGCCGCAGAGCCTGCACCGGCGAGCACCTGAGCGGCAGAGGATGGCGGGCGGCTGGGACGGCGACGAAGCCGCAGACAAAAGCAGCAGTCAGCACATGCATGCCGCGCGTCTCGGGAGCACCCAAACCGCTCGCGCGCCGTCGCGCAGAGACGCGCGTTGCACGCAACAGCTGGGCGAGCTGCGCCGACTGCGAGCTGCGCTGACTTGATCACATTTCTCTTTCCATCTTCTCCCCAACAACTCTCCCCCTCTCTCTCCTCTCTCTCCACTCTCTTTACCCCCATTCTTTCACCATGACATTTTCTCCAAACCGTTAAAATATATACGAGTGATCGATTTGTCCTGGGTTGTTCGAAGCTCTGCTGCTCCCCGGCGGTTCAATCCGCCGAGTGGCTCCCAGTTCGAGCCCGTGCAATCGTGCCCGAGTGGTCAAGGGGGTGGACTTGAAATCCACTGGGCTCCGCCCGCGCGAGTTCGAACCTCGTCGATTGCGTTTTTGTCGCGCCCCTCTCCGAGGCATGGGTGCACACCCGCAACAGCTCTCGCGCGCCGCCGTCTTTGTCACATATTTGGCCGACGCGCACTCGCGCAGAACAAGAACAGCCCTGCTCTCAACATGCGTGTCGCGCACTCATTCATGAAGTAAGAGAGAAAGAAAGAAAAAAAGAGATAAGGGCATGGGAGGACGGCACGCCATAAATAAATAAATAAATACAACGGACATCCCAAGCTAGGGCTGGGTCGAGGACAGACACGTCCCCACCTTTGCAGGATTTTGCAAAAGCGAGGGGGGAGGGCGCATCGCCGCGCGGAGAGGGCTGGGCACAGGGCACAGGGGATCTCTCTCGCATAGGATATGCACTCGGCGGCACGAGGGCAAGGCTGGGCGTCCTATGTTTGTGCTCCCCCCGGACCCCTCGCTCTCGGGCACTAACCATCTGACCACTCATCGACGGGGCTTGGCGAGCGGCCGCGCTGCGGGGTAGGGCTGGTGAGAATGGGCTCTGGCCACTCGCCCGTGCGGTTGTAACCCCGCATCTGTCGGACAGAGGCCTCGACCGCCCCTCGCGGCAAGCTCTCGAGCATCTCGAGCAGCTCGCCCGCCGCCATCGCCGCCTCGAACTGCTCCCTCATGCCGAGCGCGCCGCATACCCTGCGGACCGCCTCCTGCTGCACCTCGTCCGGCGTATCGGTTTCATAGCCGGACGAGTCAGCGGAGGAGGCGGCCCGCTTGGCGGGCGGAGAGTCGGGCGACGGCGAGCGCGACTGGCGCGAGGGCCCGCTGCCGCGCGCGGACAGCGCGTTCTTGTCAACGAGACGGGGTCCAGCATCGGCACGGCCCCTGGCACCGCGGCCCTTGCCGCGCTGCTGCTGCCCACGCTTCCTGCCCGGGTTAGGGACAGTGAAGGAGCAGCCGCGCACTCCGCCGCCGCTGGGCGGCGGCGGCACGCGCGCGGCGGCGGCCGGGCCCGCAGGCGCGGCGGGCTGGCCACCCGCGGTGGCACCCTGCGGCTGCGATGCGGCTGCGGCGGCGTACGTCTTGGGCGCCGGCTCCGCGGCTGGCGGCGCGGCGGCAGGGGCGGGCGGCGCCGCAGGGCTCGCGCTCGCAGGCGGCTCCGTGGCCTGCGCCTGCCGCTCGTGGCGCACAGCGCGTTCGAGCTGCGAGTGCGGGTGCAGCTGTACGATGACGTCGCCGCTCTGCGTCGCGGTGAAGGAGACCGAGTACGGCGCTTCGCCGTCGTTCTTCTTCTCCGCGTAGACGAGCGCGTAGTCGCACACCTGTCGTTGGTGGTCAGTGAAGATGGTCTCTGTGCAGCGCTCGGCGGAGCCGACGCGAGAGAAGTGCCGCCTGAACGCCATGCGTTCAGGCGCTGTTTGAATGAAAGAGATAAGGGCATGGGAGGACGGCACGCGCCACCACAGGGATCCGCCCGCAATTTCTTGTTCCAGCCCGACGCCGAAGCGAGTCTTGCCACAGTTGTCTCGCCGAGAGCCATGCTCTCGAGGGCTCCGCGCGCGATGCGCGGCCTCGCGCTGGGCGCGCGCATGATGAGCAAGCCCTCCGTCGCCGTCCTCGGCTCCGGCCCCACCGCCGCCGCCGCCAAGGCTGCCGTCGGCGAGTGGGCGACCGTCACCGACTCGGCAAACTCGGCGCCGTACGTGCTGGTGGTGGACGGCGCGCCGGGGTCGGTCAAGGCGGACGCGGTGGTTGCGGTGCCCACGTGCGCCGACGCCGCCAAGCTCGCCGCCGCCGTCCCCACCGCCAAGGTGGTTGCAGTCACCGCGGCGCCGGCGGTCGCCGCCGCGGCGGAGCTCGCATCAAAGGCGCGCGCGGGCCCGACAGAGCGCTCGCTGCGTGCGCGCGCGAGCCCCCTCACCGCTCCGAGCGAGGCGGCCACCCTCCTGTCCGCCGCGTGCCCCCGCCCCCAAATCCCTCGCGCCTCCAAGGTCACCCGCCACCGGCCGGCGCCGCCACCCTGTGCTCTCACCCCCTCTCCCCCGGCGCCGCTGCCCCCTCCCCTTCCCGCAGGCGGGCGTGGCGACGTCAGAGGCGCGCCCCCTCTCCCTCGCGCAGTCCGTGAAGAGACCCCTTCCCCTTAGAGCCTCCCCCCCTCCCTCTCTCGAATCGATGTCGGGGTGATCGGGTCCGAGGTGACCAGTGCATCTCGAATGTTCGTCTGCTATGGGAGCGGTGTGCAGCGGCATGTACTAGGCGAGGCACCTAGCGACCACATGTCGGCGCGCGTGTTGTAGGTGGAGCCGTTGCACACCTCGGGCGGGAGGTAGTAGGGCGTACCGCACTGGGTGCAGGCCATCGCGCGCGTCGATTCGAGCGCCTTGGCAACCCCAAAGTCTCCGAGCAGCACCATGGTGCCATCGGCAGCGGCGCCTCTGCCACACGCTCCGGCGCGCGCATCGGGTGCGAGGAAGACGTTCGACGCCTTGATATCCCGGTGCACGATGTGTAGCGAGTGAACGTGGGCTAGCGCCG